ACCCCACCTGGCCCACGTTTGTTACCGCAAAATAGGAGATCGAGTTCCTTCTCGATATTTATTGAAGTTTCTCCAATATCCTCCTTTACAAGGCGTCTCATTGCCCGCTCAGATTCCTGCCTGAACATCTAGCCCTAAGAAACACAGGTAAAGTGGAACGAAAAAGGTACAGTATAACCTCGGTTTACAAGTTTAATCCATTCCGGTACGGAGCTCGTCATGTGAAAGGCTCGTTTTGCAAAAGATAGCAAATCTACCTGCAACACTTTACTGATTGCCTGCATGCTACCGAGGACACACGCACTGGGAGAAAGACACAAAGCCGTACGCAAAGTAACAAACGCATACACCCCCTAGTGACTCATTTACTCAGTGGAAGCTCGTCAATCGAAGCAAATTTTCTGCTGATGGCTCGCTCGTTACCTGAAATGTTCGTACACGGGGCTACTTGTCACCCTCGGCTCCACTAAATATGGCGAAAACTGGTTGAACTGTCTACCATCGAGTGTGCCTATTTGCGCCACCGTGCTGTGTATACTTCGTGTAAGCACTTTTCGATTATTATACGAATTGTGAAATGAGTTTTATTCTTTTAATTTATCGTATTTAGAAATGCTGACGATCGATATTCTGCAGACTATCATCTGCTGCATTGCCGCATAACTGTATAAGGGAAACTCACACATCAAAGTGCAAGAAATGCAACCTAAAAATAATAATCATATAACTTAAAATATTTCATAAGTTTGCGACCACTGGTTTTCATAAGGGCGCATTTATTTAACTGCTAATAATAAGAAAGCCACATTAGTATTCTACGTGGACTGACGTTTCGAGATTTTCTCTTGTTTTGGCCGAACGCCTGAATTTCTCTTTTAAGTCGCGCGCGCGCGTTCAAGCGAGCACATTTTTGGTTTTGCAATTGGTATATTGGTGGCATTTAATGCACTTTGGTTTTTGGTGTTTACTTCAACTACTTATTTGATATAAAACTACAGAAAAAACCATAAAATATTATTTATGATCATTTCTAAATATGACGAGTAAAACAACACACATTATTTCAAAAAGATATAATAAGAAAAATAAAATTGCACGAAGTAGCCAGTCAGCGCACAGCGTTGTGTCTCTAAGTGACGCAATCGATGGTAGGTAGGGCATTTTGATGAAAACGCAGTATAGCACACAACAAAACACTTTCCACATGACGCGCAGCCAATAATGTCGGGTTGCACGCGTGCGAACAATCTGTGCTCGAAAATTATGGAAACCCATGGTTGCGCGAGCAGAGCAATCCAGTTGACCAATCACAATCTGTGACGCCATGTGGCGATTAGAGCACACTGAATCCGCTAATAGAGTTGTAGAGCACCTGCGACAGTCGAAGACAAATCCAAGCCAGTAAACGTAAGCGAAACCTTGGAAACTGACATTACACCAAAGGCAACTACCTCACCAGAGAGCTCCACGTGCTCGGATAGTATAATCTACTTATAACTAGATGAATCAGAGCCTTAGGCATACAAAGGACGAGGCGGATGACCGGTAAGCCTTTTTTAGATATACATTGCTTAACTGAAAACGTTAGCGCAGCCTTTTTCAGAAAATTTGCGGAAATTAGAGTGTCTCTATTTATGCACATTTAGATTTATACATATATTTTAAAGCAGAAATGTCTGCTTACATATATTTTTTGGTAAAACATACTTGTAGGGCCCCTAAAATGTATTTCCCCCACCCAACTGTCTAAAGTTTTTCGTTGTTAAGCATTTAATTGTTGGTGAGTGAGTGTAAATTAATATTTAGTTGTTTATTGAAGTGCTCAAATATATTAAATTTAAGAAATATATCTGTTTCAATCTAATAAAAATAATAAAGTTTACCAACGTACACTCCTGTTGCCCAAGATAATGATGACAAATGAGGGAAAAATAACCTCTAAGGACGGTCATGCCATTTTTCCAGGGTGAACCACAAACCAAACTTAAAGGAAAATTTATTTTTTACGCTTAAGAAATATGGGCTAAAGGAATGCTGGATGAAAATAACTAGAGAAAATAAATCTCCAATGTCCAGTTACGATCATAAAATGAAGTTCCTTGACATTTTATCATCGGCACTATCGACTTTTAGTCCGAAACTCGACAAAAGGCATGCATTTTATTGCCATTCATTTTGTCTACTTTGTGGAGTGGATTGTGTATACAATTAACCTTATCTTTACCAGACTCAATTTCGCATTCTTGCGCCATCTAATTGACCACTCTGCTACCCATACCGTATGTTTAGCTTTGCGTAGTTATGGTCTTTAGGGTGTAATTTCAGGGGCGAATGAAGTTATCTTTTCAAGCCATTTGCCCCATAATCGTTGGTATGACGATCCGAGCTGCAGTTCTGACGAGGATATGGCATCTTTCAGGGTAAATGATCACAAATTTCAAAACCTACTTAGTCCCAGATATTCGCCACTAACACACTGCTGTGTGGATAGAATGTACAGTTATAGAGGACCTGAAGCACCACTTGAGAACCTGTGATCAGCAACACTTCGCTGACTCACTTTTTAGCGGCTGCCAAGCCTTGCAGTCGTGCGTGCTCGCACTTCTCCCCAAACGGTCTTGTTCGATGCGCTTTGAATTCCGCTGTCCGCTTATTATCAGTTTCCTGATTGGCTACAGGAACCAAGCATGTGCTAGACTTCCTGGAATCCCACGCACTCAAATTAGATCAGAGGTGCCCCTTTAGTCTGCGCTTGCGCGCTCCTCCGATAGTCAATTACCTCGTTCACATAATCCACTTCTTCCTTACAGAATACACCATTTCTACCACTTGGCGGCTCACATTTTCTCTTGCCACGAGGAGCCAGGTACGAAGATCGCAGCTGTTAGGGTTGTGCCTTTTTAGGGTAAATCCCT